CACCCAGAAGACATAATTTCTTAATATGATTCATGTCACAGCTAGTCTAAATTAATATGTAAGCAGAATAACAATTCTTTGCTCCCTTAGACACTCATGTCTGTCATATAGGTCTGTTAAAGTTTTTGATTAATTCTCCAGCCCTAGTAATTTTCTTCCATGTCATACCAGCTAACTGATATCATCGTCAAATAACCTTATCATTATAAGACATAAATATCATATCAGCAGACATAAATACAGCAATGGCTTGCAAATACACAAGGAAGTTCTACAGATGATAAATAGTCACTAAGTAGCTAAGGCCTCCGAATTCTAAGACAAAAAACCTAGCAACCATTCCTGTAAGAAGAACTTATCTTCGGGTTATTTTTCTCACTGGATAAATAACTTCTTTTAGAGGAAGAAAGTGGTTCTTCAGAGATTCCCTAAAAGCTCTCTCTATGCCAGAGTGACATGCTGAAATAGTGCCTAGTCAAGGGCCTGGGAATAACAAAGAACATGTCCCAAAGTGAAGGTTAAAGTCTGAGGGGATAGCACTTTCTTCCCACTTTGCTCATTCAGAGTTTAGCCCTGCAATGAAAAATGTTTCAGACACTAGGACAAAGCATCTCTTAGTAGAACCTTTGGAAGCAGAATTTTCCAAGGCCTGTCTCCACCAAAGCCTCAGGCGAAACAGCAAAAAGTGGTTGTTAGTGCCATTGTGCTACCTCTTTCTTCTAACTAAATAAGTCATTTTTTTTGGCAATCCAGAGTTTACAACTGTAACACATATAGTATCTCTTCCTTTACAACTGTCCCACAATGCCCAAACTCCTACGTCCATTCATTCAAACAAACTCCTATTCCTTCTCAGCTACCAACAGACCAAGCCCACCGCCTAAAGCCTCTCAGGGTATATTTGCACTTTAAGCTAAAAATTTAAGGGTTGTTATCTAACAACCCCCTAAATTAGGAATGTTTAGGCTGTATGCCTCTTAGAAATAAAAACAAAATCAACTAATAATAATAGCAGCCAACCTTTCTTGTGTTTTACTATATGCAAACACCTTGCTGAGGGCTTAAAATGGATCTTATTTAATCCTTATTAAGAACTCTCTGAGGTTGATATAATTATTAATACATTTTATATATTGAATACACTTTCTCAAAATCACAAAGCTAGTAAGTGGACTAAGGGCAGTTGATAACATTAGGTAAGAACATACATAAGGGTTTGGAGTCAGGCAAATCATGGTGGCTCCATAATTTATAAGCTGTATGACTCAGCAGGTTCCCTGACTTCCTTGGGCCTCAGGTTTCTTACCTAAAGTAGGGATAATATGAGATACCTCATATGGTTACTATAAAAATTAAATGGAAAATTATATGTCTAGCATTCAATTTGCAGTAGATGCTTAACAAATGTATATTCTTTTCTTTTTCACTAGGCATTCCAGAGCTGGAGGATTATTAATTCTCAGTTTAGGGTAGTGGTGCTTTAACTTAGACCTCACAGCATCTTCTGGTTAACAACTTTTTTTTAAACTAAATAAAGTTATCCTCTCTAGAAGAAAAAGCACTGAACTCATAGACCTATCTAGCAGTGATGACCTACAGCCAAGAAGGAATGGCCAGAAAAGCATTAGGGCAAAGAGGTTCTGCCCAAAACTAGAACTTTATCATGATTTCCAATGGCACCAGGACCAGTTAGATCTGAAAAAGCCTAGGAAACTAGCTCAGATCAGTGGCTTGGCTTCTAATTTTTTAAAAAGCTATTGTTAATTCCACGGTCACTGGTTCTTCAGCATATTTATCTATGGATCAAAGGATAAAGAAAATTAGCAACAGAGTTTAGCTCCTAAGTAGTGAAAGTAGGAAACTTTACAGATACACACAGAATATTAAAAAGACATAAAATTGGCTGGGCGCGGTGGCTCACGCCTGTAATCCCAGCACTTTGGGAGGCCGAGGCGGGTGGATCACGAGGTCAAGAGATCGAGACCATCCTGGTCAACATGGTGAAACCCCGTCTCTACTAAAAATACAAAAAATTAGCTGGGCGTGGTGGCGCGTGCCTGTAGTCCCAGCTACTCAGGAGGCTGAGGCAGGAGAATTGCCTGCACCCAGGAGGCGGAGGTTGCGGTGAGCCGAGATCGCGCCATTGCACTCCAGCCTGGGTAACAAGAGCGAAACTCCGTCTCAAAAAAAAAAAAAAAAGACATAAAATTGAAAACTAAATATAAAATTAAAAATTAAAATCTGAATTTGATTATTTAGCTGCAGGTAAAATAGAAGCAGAACCACACAATCACACAACACTCAAGTTCTTTGTGTATATAATTTCCTATATATCTGACAAAAATTAAACTAAATTATATATCATCATATATAACAAATTTTTAACCACTGTAACAAGAGAACATTAGTAACTGCATTTAATTATAGTTAGCAATAGAAATATAGTTAAAGACAAAATCAAGTAGGAAGTCCAGCCTCTGGTCCTTTACAAGAATACATTTAAGGATTCCCTAACAAATTAATGATAATTTACTCTTAATTTAATAAAAGTAATAGGTTCCTACTAAACAAAAATAAGAAAAAAAGCACAAACTCAGATTCAGTTATTTTACAAGTGAGAGAAAAATGTTTTAAAGATGAACATTCATAAGATTTAAGACTTATGAATTTTTCTTACTTGAGCTTTAGCTCGGTTGTGATCCAAACGGGTCAAGCAACTGAAGTTCTCCTTGGGGATGGATGGAGCTGACTTGGAGGCAGTCAGGCAGTTGGTATTGGCTGGATTACCCACAACAATAACCTATGAGGAATGGAAGGCAAAGAAGAGTTACAGACTATATACTTACTAACTAAGCTACGTTAAAATTTGACAGAAAATGTCTAACAGGTAGACTTTGTACAGGGGACGCTTGGGAAACACTATATAGCATAGGAAAATGCATTTTAAGTTACAAAATCTTTAATAAAATGATAAAAAGTTTTGAAATAATATATTTATAGAAAAGTTACAGCATATTATATGACTCCCATGTATCTTTAGTCTTTTTTTCTGGGTAACTCTTTCGACAAGCTGCAGACAAGATACTTCATTGCCTCTAAGTACTGCAGTGCTGGTGAATATTTCTCACAAACAAGGACGCTTTGCAGAGGTGGAATTACTATGCAAGGAATACTATACCTCCAAAAAGCTTGGAATTTAGCAGTCTGAACAACCTTGTAATCTTTTATTGGGAACTGAGGATTTCTATTCAACTTTTATTATTTTCTGTGATTACAGAAAATAAGTGAACGATTTAAAATTAAGTCCACAGAAAGCAAAAATGCAGACATCTATGAAATGTCATAGATAGAACATTATAATGGGCAACTTAGAAAATCTTAAAACGTTTTCTTTCCATTTTTTTTTTTTTTCAAAGTCAAGATAGTAAAGTATACAGAAATCAGTTTAACCTTAACCAGAAGGCCTATTTGCTGTATGACAATTAAGTTCTAGTTAATTAACAGTTAGCTAATAAAAGCTTTGGCTGGGGGTGGCAGTTGTGGCTCATGCCTGTAATCCCAGCACTTTGGGAGGGCGAGGCGGGTGGATCACATGAGGTCAGGAGTTGTAGACCAGTCTGGCCAACATGGTAAAACCCCGTCTCTACTAAAATTCAAAAATTAGCTGGGCATGGTGGCATGCACCTGTAGTCCCAGCTACTCGGGAGGCGGACAGGAGAATCACTTTAACCTGGGAGGCAAAGGTTGCAGTGAGCCAAGGTTGCGCCACGGCACTCCAGCCTGGGTGACAGAGCAAGACTCCATCTCAAAAATAAGAATTTAAAAAAATAAAATAAAAAGGAAGGCTTATTGTAATATTAAGACATGTTTAGAAACCTGAGCATTCAGAAACTACCATGTTCTACTCCTGAGAATAAACTTACCTTATGGCTATCTCCTTTCAGAATCACACAGAAATCCAAATGTCTGAATAAATATTCCCACACAGCAAAAATGCATCAAAATGTCCTATGCCTTCTTTATAGGTTTAAGAACTAATATTACATTTTCACACTATACTAATAGGAAAAATATTTATGAGTACTCTGAATATAGATTTCTATACTATAAGAAAAAACCCAGAAAGAGAGACCTTAACGAGCAAAACTCTATAGCCCTATTTACTGATGATTGTACAGAACTAGAAAAAAGGGCAAATAATTTTGGTTTTACTTAAATGCTAAAAGCATAAGTTTCAAATGCTAATAATGAAAAGATCCCATAAACTACAGTGTTGGTCACCTTAACTGACTTCTTTGCGTATTTATCCAAGGCCGCACCCTGGGATTTGAAGATTTTCACGTTTGCTTTCAGTAAATCTTTTCTCTCCATGCCCTCCCTTCTTGGCATGGAGCCTACGAGAATGGCCACATCCAGGTCTTTGAAGGCAACCTCTTCTTTATCTGTTGCGATGACATCTGTGGACATGGCAATAAATATGTAGAGTTACTTAGACACCAAAGTTTGAAGTTTTCTTTTTCATATTGAATCTACCCATTAATTCTTTCACTTGTTGCAAGTGTTTACATATCACACTGATATACATTTCAGGAGCCTAAGAAAAGAAAGATAGCCGGGCGCGGTGGCTCAAGCCTGTAATCCCAGCACTTTGGGAGGCCGAGGCAGGTGGCTCATAAGGTCAAGAGATAAGAGACCATCCTGGCCAACATGGTGAAACCCTGTCTCTACTAAAAATACAAAAATTAGCTGGGTGTGGTGGTCTCGCACCTGTAGTCCCAGCTACTCGGGAGGCTGAGGCAGAAGAACTGCTTGAACCCGGGAGGCGGAGGTTGCAGTGAGCCGAGATTGTGCCACTGCACTCCAGCCTGGAGCCTGGCGACAGAGTGAGACTCTGTCTCAAAAAAAAAATAAAAAAAAAAAAAAAGAAAGATAATACATTAATTTAACAATCATAACATCAGAAATGTCAATAGATGCATTTTGCTCTTCCTATTTCAATAATTACCTTAAATTTCAAAAATTCCATAGCCTTTATCTTTTATAATCATATATGATGCAAGGTATAATGATGACTTTTGAAACAACACTTATTATTCACATGAATTACCACATGACACAAAAGAGCAACTAATTCACCTAATCTTTAAATTACAATTACTTTAAGGTCTAAGATACCAATCACAAATTAAAAAATCATAAATGTTTATTAAGGAGTTTTGTGCCAGGGATAATGCTAAGATATTTATATTATTATCAAATTTAATCTTCACATTTTATAGATGGAGACACTGAGGTTTAAAGAGATTAACTCGCCACCATCAAAAGATAATGGAGCTGTAATTCCGCCCTAGGTTGGTCCAGAGTTCAACCACTATGCTCCAGTGTTAGTACAGTAAGCGCACATCACTTGCTTTTTGACTAAGAACATATATCGTCGTACTTCTTTGTTGATTATATTAAAAAAGCTATGATCAACATTTAGCATTTTCACTGGAAAACTGGCCATCATAGTTGCATCATAGTCAAGGTTGCCATAAATCTGAAAATGGGCATAGGCAGGAATACCAGTTGGAGGGAAAAAAAAATTATCTTCCTCTTCCCAGTCACACATCCTTATTTGCTGAACTTTCCCTTCCCTGTCATATTCACATCTGGCAGGGGACAAACTGACTGCAATCTGGGACCTTCAGAAGAAAGCACAGGGAACTCAGCAGACAAAGGAATACAAATGGGAAAAAGCAACAAAGTTGATTTGGAAAGAGTTGTGGGTGAGAAAAGGGAACCAACAGAATAGTGTGGGCAGTCATGTATTCTTCTACGGAACTATGCAACCAAAAGACTTAGATGGCAGAGTATCCTTTCTAGCAAATGTTTACTCAACAGATGAAGAATTTTAAGGAAAGTTTTTCTTGGGAGGTATATATTATTTTGCTTAGTGCGAACTTCTAGGAGAGTATCATTAATTAATCCCTACCCCCCAAAAAAAGACTATGATGAAGCTATAGCTAAAGAATTCAAATTAATTTAGAATTATTTTAATAAACTTCAATCAAATTTAAGCCCTCCTTATTATATTTGTGGTACAGTTCAATGCTTTGCAAAGGGCCGTATCTGAGCTCTTCTGAGTTTTTTGCAAACTATACAGCATATGGTAAGGACAATTTTATACTCTGTCTCAACCTGATGACTGGTGGATGGGATGGGGACCATATAAGAGGAACCAACTAACTTCCATAGCAATATATAGAGAAGGACATCCTGCACAACTGAGAAAGTTTTCCCTTACAGGATGCTACTATTACCATTTAGGTAGACTACATAACACAATGTAGGCAATTCCTACACTGTCTATAATGTATGTGTGTAGACAATGTCAAGTATATAACCCTTATGCAATATTACACTTAACTGGCATAATTAATCATGTACACACACATTTGGGGAAAAAGGATAGTCCTTTACCTGACACTGATATTATAAAATCCTTTCTCTATCCCTAACTCACCTTTCAGGAGGGGAAGGGCACAGTCTTGAAGTTCCATTAGGACACCGTCCAGGACACCCATCATGGGGGTGATATCCAACAGCACAAGAATTATAGGCTATGAAATATCAAGAACAGTATCTGTTAGTGTAGGCTATTTCATTTAGACACAAGACAGTCTTTTCAGTTTTTATTTGGTATGTACATGCATATAATTCCCATTAATTAGTCATGATGATTATTTTAGGAGGTCAGGTATCTAGTACTATGCCCTTTCAGAAAAAAGAATGCTATAAAACCAGCACCAGTTTGCTAACAGACACAGTGAGAGGATCACCACTACTCAATTTTAAGAGTATGTGAAAAAAACATCAAATTGAGTGACATACCACAGCTTGCTCTTATTGTTAATAGCTGTATGTTTGATTTCAGTTCATGGAAAGCTAAGTACAGTATCTGACATGAAAGAAGAATTCAATATCCATGGGTCAAGAAATGGAATAAATGAATACCTTAGAAAAGGATTTTACTGTAAATTAATTGGGCTTGTTGGAAATGGGAGCACCTGCTTCTATTGGGAAGCAGATTTTCTGACTATTTTGGTTCTAAAGGGCCATTTATGAACAAGGAAGTGCTCACTGAGCAACTTTTTTTCCCACATGACTGTAAGTTACTGTCATTAGTGTTATCTCCCATTGACTGACACCTGCTGGTTGCACCAAGTCAACTAAGTACAATATATGGAAGAGTTCTCATTTGCAAAGTGCTTTCAGTGCCTGGAGGAATACATATAAATACCTTACTAGCTTCCATTTATAGCAATGTACCTATTACATTTCTTGGGATTATCTATTCCTTCATTGTTTTACAATTTGTGTACAACTAAATACAGAATTTTATCAACCATATTCTTACTCTAATAACTTAAGATTTATAGACATCTGTTCCTACCTGGTCTTTACCAAAGACAGATCCATTTCCAATACTGTACAGCAGTGAATATGCAATCTGACCAGCTGCTCCAGTCACAAGGACTCTGATTGGTTCAGACTGTAATGAAAAAGACCCATTAACATCTTTAAGTACTACAGTACCTTAAAAATATCCAGTAAGAAATCTTACTATAGTAAGAAATCCACATACTTTAAAAATGAATGTAAAATGTAAAACTCTCTTCGCATCTGGCTTAGTAGAAAATGAATGTGCTGCATATTTACATGGTGTTATTTAACTCTCACTATGTAGGGAGCTAAAAGTGTTATCCTGGATTTACTTACATAATCTTATCCACCTTTTTGGGGATATTTTGCCGCTAAAATAGGTCCAACAATGTTGATGTGCTCGGCATGTGATGATCCAAACCCTGGCGGCCACTAGAACTGCATAAATCCTTATTATGCAAAGCCCCCACTCCCATCTGTTCAACAGAATTTTCATACCAAGAAGAGGAGTAAGAGGCTAAAACTTTCCATTTACATTGAGCTAAAACATTTAAATAAGACAATCATGCTTCAACTTTATTGTCTGAAGGAGGAAAAACAAGATTTTATTTTTTATTTTGGGAGAAACAAAAAGGAGAAAATGATAATTTCTGGATTATGGTATATTTTAGTATTAAATAATAATATATAACAACAGCAACATGTAGTGACAGATAGCTGACAATCTGATTCCAAGGGAAATTTTTTTTCTTTTTTTTTTTTTTTTTTTTTTTTTTTTTGAGACGGAGTTTTGCTCTTGTTACCCAGGCTGGAGTGCAATGGCGCGATCTCGGCTCACCGCAACCTCCGCCTCCTGGGTTCAGGCAATTCTCCTGCCTCAGCCTCCTGAGTAGCTGGGATTACAGGCACACGCCACCATGCCCAGCTAATTTTTTGTATTTTTAGTAGAGACAGGGTTTCACCATGTTGACCAGGATGGTCTCGATCTCTTGACCTCGTGATCCACCCGCCTCTGCCTCCCAAAGTGCTGGGATTACAGGCTTGAGCCACCGCGCCCGGCCGGGAAAATTATTTTTAAAAGCGAGGAGGGGGAAGACATACAAAGAAAGATTTCAACAGACCCTGAACAAAATACAGACATATAAACAAAGATAACTGATATTCAAGGTGATGACTGAGTCATTAAAAAAAGACTAAGCTAAGAGAATGTAAAAAATAGAATTTTGTGTGTATGTGTGTGGTTTTAAGGAGCCAAAAGTTTAATAGGCAAAAAAGAAGGAAGAAGAAAACAGCTCCCCCATACATAGACAGAGGGAGGGGGGATTGAACAAAGAGAAAACCCCCGAAATATTTCTATTAAAAAGAACAAAACAATAATGTTTAGAAACTTAATTGGTAAGTTTAGTTAGACAGAAAAATTCAATTAAGGTGAACCATTCCTTTCCCTGACAATGCTGGGTAAATGTCCTTCCACTGCCATCTTTACCCCAACCTGCAGTGAGAAATGGTCCATTGATGTGACTAAGCCTACAACTGTTTGGTTTCTTTTTATTTAAAATTCCCTCTTCCAGATTAGAATCATGTCTCTGAGATGAAACAAGAATGGATAGCCTGGAAGGCTTCTTTTACGCTTCTAACTCTAAGCTCAAGGTCAGCAGCACTCAGCAATTTGGTACCCACAGAAGTCAAAGGAAAAAAGTTTCAAAAAAGAAGTGTCAGGCTGGTCCCAGTGGCTCACACGTGTAATTCCAGCACTTTAGGAGGCCGAGGCAGGCAGATCACCTGAGGTCAGGAGTTTGAGACCAGCCTGACCAACATGGAGAAATCCTGTCTCTGCTAAAAATACAAAAATTAGCCAGGCATCGCAACACATGTCTGTAATCCTAGCTATTCAGGAGGCTGAGGCAGGAGAATTGCTTGAACCTGGAGGCGGAGGTTGCAGTGAGCCAAGATTGGACCATTGCACTTCAGCCTGGGCAATAAGAGCTCAGTCTCAAAAAAAAAAAAAAAAAAAAAAAGTGTTAACTGGTGTAGAAAAATGATCATAGCAAAAACAAATATACAATATTTGTTTTCTAATTTATTATTACTATTTATAGAAAAATCTTTAATCGCCTAAATATGTTTTTCATTCTGTCATTTCCCTTCTTAAAGTCAAGTAGAATAGGTAAGGAAAAGGGAATAGAGGAAGAAATTATTATTATTACTCCCTTTCCCTTTAGGATGCAAGATCCTTAAGGACAGGAACTTTGTCTATTTTTTTTTACTGCTATATCTCAATTGCTTAGAAAAACTGGCACATAGTTATAACTCCGATATTTACTTGAAGGAATAGCTGGGTCCTGTAAAACTACCAAAAAGATGGAAATGTGTAAGAACTGTTTGGAAACATATGTAACATGCTTAAAAAAAATTTTTTTTAAAGATATTTTATTCATTTGAGATATTTAAGGCTGAATGCAGTGGCTCATGCCTACAATCCCAGCACATTGCTGGGGGTCCGAGGCGGTAGATCACTTGAGCCCAGGAGTTTGTGACCAGTCTGGGTAACATAGTGAGATCCTGTCTCTTAATAAACAATTTAGCTGCGTGTGGTGGCACATGCTGTAGTTCCAGGCACTCGGGAGGCTGAAGTAGGAGAATCACTTGAACCTTGGAAGGCTACAGTGTGCCATTACTGTGTCAGTGCACTTCAGCCTTGGTGACAGAGCGAGATCCTGTCTCAAACAAACAAAAATTTATTCATATATACTATGAAGACAAAAGGTATTTTATTCATATATACTATGTTTTCAGAAGGTTGGAAACTTAGTGAACACAATAGTTCCAACTATAGTTAACAAACTTATTTATGTCACTAGTACTAATGATAATGCCTTATAAACCTACTGATGAACTGCTGTCTCATTTAATTCATTCATTAAACAAAACACCACTAAATTCCTATCATGTACTTGGTACTATTTTAGGCCAAGGAATCCATTGGCGAATCAGAAGAAAACAAGAGGATAAGCCAATTCTCTAAAACAGGGGGCTAGAGAGGCAGTAGAGAGCAGTAGTTAAAGAGATTGACTCTGGAGTCAGACTTTCTGGGTTCAAGTCCTGGTTCCACAACTCATTAACTGTATGCTCTAGGACAAGTTACTTAATCTCTCTGTATTATTTCCCCATAGTAAAATGGAGACAATAATAGCAATTATCTAACAAACAGAGCAGTTTTAAGGATTAAAAGAGTTAATACACAAAGCACTAAGAACAGTAGTAGCAAGTATTTATAATTATCATCACAGAATTTTCTTCTAAAGACTTTAATAGCCTGTGGTTTTCTATTTACATGTCTGTTGCTCTCTATTAGGCTGTGAAGCCCCCTTGAGAGCAGTCTGCCTTTGATATGAATTGGCATTTCCATATGGTGTTCAACAAGTATTTGTTGAATGAGGGAAGGTTAGAGTAACAAGTATAAACACATACTACTTCAATGTACAACAAGCTAGGATAAGAAAAGTGGAGTAGGAGAGAGTGAAGATCACTATCTATAAAGTTTAGCCTCCCATAAGGTCACCTGTATGGTTAGAATAATGCAGTCAATTTTAGTAGCTACTTAAAAACATATTCACAGTATCACTGCCCTTAGTGATGGGGTTGTGGCCACCTAATGAAGAGTTAATTCCACTTCAGCAGTTTCCTTTTGTGTCTTTGGAGAAATTACTTTCACAGGTAGGTAATTCCATCTTATTAATAGTAGTATGAGGCTTAGTGTCTGAATGTTTGAAGATGAAACAGAGAAAGAAAAGTCCAGATCTGGTACATTGGAGCTGAAAACCAGGAGGGTGGGAGAGTCCTGCTGACTTTCACAATGTTACAGTGTGAACATAGGTTACTATTCTTTGCTCAGATATCTGGGCAGTCTGCCAAGATCCAAAGAAGGAATGTCTCTGCTCTTAGCAAGGCACCAATGATCTTCCTGCAGATGCATGCTCTGTGCTAACTTCTCAGCTATAAAGATTGAATTTAAGTATCTCTCTTACTCCACAGACAGATCCACATATTCCTTTTTCACTTTCTAATTTATATATATTTCTAAATTACATGTATTTCTGTAACACAAAAAATAAGCACTACCATTTAGATTCCTTCATACAGTTTATTTTGCTGTCACTCCCTATAGACAAAAAGCAAAGAATCCTCCCCTTTGAATGAGCTTACAAAAAAGGCTCTTTTCTAACTCTGATCATCATACACTCTCCTGAAGGGGCAAGGAAATTGAGTCATTTGTGAGTTTGCTGTCAGTTTCAGCAAACTGCCAGACAAATTCTTCTTTATGTTCTGTCTCTCTGCTATCTGGCACCCCAGTGACCTTCTAGGGATGGGACCTTGCTAGGGAAAACCAGCTAAGAATCAGGAGCCCACAATCTCTCTGTGACCTTGGGAAAATTATCTGACCTCAACAGACAACATTATAAGAGTAAATAAAATAATCTCCAAATTTCCTTTGAATTCTAGAATTCCAATATTTTGAATTGTAAGGAACAAAGCTATAAAAAAATCTACATGTAGATAACATAGTTGAGTTTGTATATGCAGTATGAGCTGGTAACTTCGTCCAAAACCTCAGCTAGTAAAAATAAATTTTCAGAGAGTTGAGTATAGCTGCGAGACCCCACTGCAGTGGTCCCTATAAAAATAAATATTCAGCAAGACTTGGTAAGTATAAGACACAATATAGAAAAATGGATAGAGTGTGAGACTCATGGGGCAAATTACATTCTCTCTGGGTCTTGATAAACTCAACTTAAAGATCTGAAGTGGGGAGATTCGTCAAGATGACCTTTAAAAAATCCCATTTAGTTCTAAAAGCAAAAAGTCCAAAGTTCTCAGGTAAGTACCTCTGCTTACCTAAGGTTATTAGGACGGAAACCACTGAAACTGTAATTTAAATGACTAATTATGTGACAAAATATTTAGGAGACCTAGGTTTAACACCCACTGGAAATTGGCAGCTGTCTCCAATGGCCCCGTTATATAGGCAGAGAGAGTAATGCCCTTGCCTTGAAAACGTGTCTTTTCAGGTTCTGGAAAATTTCCAA